AGATAATCTTGTTCTGTTGTTCAAGCTAGAGTGCAGTGGTACAATTGTGGCTTACTGCAGCCTCAAAACTCCTGAGCTCAAGTGATCCTCCTGTCTCAGCCTCCCTAGTATCTAGGGCTATAGGTGCTCATCACCACACACGGCTAATTTAAAAAAGATTTTTGTAGAGACACGGTCTTGCTATGTTGCCCAGACTGGTCTCCAATTCCTGGCCTTGATCCTTCCACTTCAGCTTCCCAAAGTGCTGGAATTATACGCATAGAGCCATCGTACCTGGCCTAATTCGATATTATCACAGCAATAATATTTACTTTTCAGAGTTTTGGTTCAGTCATCAAAGGCTTCATAGGTTACTAAAGGGAAGAGTAAAACCCGGGGGTGGGGTGGGGGGTGGGAGCTGATGGGGGAGGGGGTACAGAGTGGGCACGTGGCTCACAGACTCCCTAAGGACTGGGTCCCTGAGACAGAGCAGGCTGACGACATGAATAAGGAGTCCCTGTTATTGCGACGTTGGGACAAAGGGACTGGACTCGACAATTTCTTTTTCATCCAGTGGTGAGGTGGATCATCGATGACACTATGGTTGAGAGTTCAAAATGGCTAATTAATAATTGGGCTCAGTGGCTCAGCACTTTGGGAGGCTGAGGCAAGTGGATTGCCTGAGCCCGCAGGTTCAAGACCCACCCGGGCAACTTGGTGAGACCTCATCTCTACAATAAATCAAAAATTAGCTGGGCATGGGATCGTGCGCCCTGTAGTTCCGGCTACTTGGAAGGCTGAGACGGAAGGATTGCCGGAGCCCAGTGGATAGATGCTGGGGTGGCCCTAAGCATGTTACTGCATTCCAGCCTGGGAGACAGAGTGAGATGCCAACTCAAAAAAAAAAAAAAATCGATCCACAGGTAATTCAGGATAGGCTGATTTTTTTGGCCTTGCCCTCGGAGGTGAGGCTGGCCCGCAGCAGGCAGAGAACTGTCTGCTGTGGGCCAGGAGCAGAATAGGGAGCAGGACAGCTTTCGGGCCAGCCCCTGCCCACACTGCAGCCCTGTCTACTTTTGTTTGAAGCTGAACTTCGCAAAGATTCAGATGCTTGTACTTCATTATAGCTTCAAGTCTAAGTGTGGATCATGTAGAAATAAAACTAAAGCTATCAATGTATCTTGCCCAATTCAAAACAAAATAAGTGAATGCTAACTGTCTTGTCAAATCCCAGAAGCACTGGATGAAGCCCTGAACTAGTGATTTAGTCTAGCTCAATGTGGATAAAAATAATAATCCTGATTAGTTTTACTCTAAGTTGAAAGATATATGGAGCCCTTGGCATGACTCTTCCACAGACCTGAGATTCATTCTTGCTGTGATTAGAATCACAGGATTTCAGAATGGGAAGGAACCTCAGTGATTATACAAATTCCTCATTTGTATAATGAGGGGTTACCTCATTTATCAGGTAATAAGGCTCAGGATGCGGGTGGTAGCTCACACCTGTAACCCCAGCACTTTGGGAGGACAAGATGGGGGAACTCCTTGAGTCCAGGGTTTCGAGACCAGCCTGGGTAACACAGCAAGACCTCATTTCTACAAAAAATGAAAAAATTAGCCAGGCATGGTGGCATACACCTGTAGTCTTAGCCATTTGGAAGGCTAAGAAGGAAGGGTTGCTTGAGCCCAGGAGTTTGAGGCTGTGGTGAGCTGTGATCATGTCACTGCATTCCAGCCTGGACAACAGAGTGAGAATCTGATAAATAAAATAAAATAGGCCAGGTGCAGTGGCTCAAGCCTGTAATCCCAGCACTTTGGGAGGCTGAGGCGAGAGGACTGCCTGATCCTGCAGGTTCGAGACCAGTCTGGGTAACATGGTGAGACCTCGTCTCTACAATAAATAAAAAAATTAGCCGGACATGGTAGTGTGCTCCTGTAGTTCTGGCTACTTGGAAGGCTGAGGCAGAAGGATTGCCAGAGCCCAGCAGGTCGACCCTGGGGTGGCCGCAAGCGTGCCACTGCCCTCCAGCCTGGGCGATGGAGTGAGACTCCAACTCAAAATAAATAATAAAGTAAGCCGGGCTCGGTGGCTCAGCCTATAATCCTGTGCCTTTGGGAGGCTGAGGTGAGTGAACTGCCTGAGCCTGGGGGTTCGAGACCCGCCCAGGCAACTTGGCGAGACCTCATCTCTACAATAAATCAAAAATTAGCCGGACGTGGTAGCGCGTGCCTATAATTCCGGCTACTGGGAAGGCTGAGGCGGAAGGATCGCCGGAGCCCAGCAGGCAAGGCTGCGGTGGCCGGGAGTGGCCACTGCACTCTAGTCTGGGCGACAGAGTGAGACTCCAACTCAAATAATAAATAATAATAATAATAATAAAGTGATAAAATAAACGTGCCCAGGAAGATGAAGTAAGTTCTCCTGGCTGTCACAAGTACCAAGGACATAGGATCTTCCCCAAGATCTTTCTCAGAGACCAACCACTTCACAAGGCAGTTGCTCACCAGGGTAGCCGGTAGCCACGATGGCTCCAGTGATCCCTACCTGGCACTTCCCTACCTGGCACTCGTCCTGCAGTCCCCTCCCATATCACACAGGGTGGCCCATGACCAACATGGCAGGAGTGATGGTATGCCACTTCTGAGATCAGGTTGTAAGGCTGTGGTTTCTACCTGGGTCATTCCCTCTTGCTCCCTCCCTCGCTCTTGGGTCACTGCCTCGGGGAGAAGTCCTGTCCTGAGCAGCGGGATGGACAGGCCATGTGAGGGGGCGCTGAGGCCTCCTGCTCCACAGGCAGGCAAGCGATTTTGGAAGCAGCTCCCCCAGCTCCAGCCAAGCTTCAACTGGTGGCAGCTTCAGCTCACAGCGTGATGCAACTGCAAGAGGGACCCTGAACCAGAGACACTGGTTAAGCTGCTCCCAGGTTCCTGACCCTCAGAAACCCTCTCACCCCTGGATGAGATCACACGTTTGTTGTTTGAAGTTACATTTTGGGGTAATATTTTACACAGCAATGACTAAATAAGACACTCAGAGCTAAGATGAGTACGTTTTAAAAAAATGCTTGAAAGGCACACACAGTTCAGAATATGCGGCAGAGAAAGTGATCTTAGGGTGCTCTCCAGTAGAGAAGTGACTACATCAGAAATTAATGTAACAGGCACAAACAAAAAAATGATTCTATCTCTTAAATAGGAAGAAAAGAATCTTAGAAAAACAGCAATCTCTTACAATTTTAGAGAGGCTAAGTGGCCATCTCTAAGAATATTTTAACGCACAAAGGAACCAGGTCCTGCCTATAATTTTCCAGGGCATGTTTGCAGGCTAACCACAGTTAGGAAGACTTGCTGAGTCGCTTTCCACATCCATGCAATATTGCCATCTGCACCCCACCTTCTCATGAGCTGTGACCAGCTCACCCTGGACAGCCTCAATCCAGAGTTCATTAATACAGACCCGCAGGGCTGGGAATCGGAAGTGCTGTGTGCCAATACCAGCAGGGCGCCAAGTGTCAGGGAGATCATTCTCCAACAGCTGCAGCCATGAATTTCAATGAGCACTAACCCCCAAACCAAAAGGATACTTTCAAAGTAGTTTAGAACGTTCAACGTAATCAAAAGTGACTGTGAGAGGTGATGGCTCAGAGAGATGTAAATTTATTTCATCACCTCCTGATCTGTATCAAAACCAGCCAATCAACAAGTAAAACCTAAAAGAAAATGGCATGGGACATGAGAAACTGTGGGAAATACTTAGAATTCTGATGGATTTGCAAATGGTCCTTACTGACCATTTTGCCAAGCATACTCCTCGGCTCCACTTGGAGCCGAGGAGTCTGCAAACACCTCGGGTGACTCAGGAAGCTGCTTGTTTTCCTGCTTTCTGCCAACTCAAAGCAATTTGGAGCAAACCACTCTGCCAGGTTTGTCTGCACTTCCTGAATCCTGGGCCTTCAAACCACTGCTTTACAAAGTCAACAATGCCAAAATCCAAATTTGCATTTTGTACTCTGAGATCGTCTGCAAAAGTTAATCTTTTTCTTTGTGTATTCTCTCAGGGAATACTTAATGACATCTATGTTTATGTTCTGAGGACCCAGGGATCAGGGAAGGAGCTTTTTCATGGATTGCTAAATGATAGTTTTTCTTGTCAATGGCTAAAAATTCAGAATACTCAAAAATCAAATTTTCCTAAAGCAAAGTATATTAGAGATGATTTCTTGCGATTGTGAGATATGGCCTTCTGAGACTTCATAGTCAATCCAGTAGGTTCCAAACATCTGAAATGATTCAGTTCAATAATAGAGGCCGCATGCTGCAGTCAGTTCTAAGCCCAACTGGAGACAAATTGTTAAAACTACATGACTGGATCTGGTTTTAGTCTTTCAGACAAGTTCACTTTAAAGCAACTTCTGGTGAACTACATCGGAAACTTTGGATGGGCCTGAGAACACAGCAAACCTCAAAAGTCCATGGGCTTCATCTCACTCTCTTGCGGAGACTTGATGGGTGGAAGGATAAGACCACCTTTCTTCCGCAGAAGAGCAATCTCCTCCTTTAAAGCCAAAATCCTTTCCGCCTGGACTTGGATCAATTCAGTAACCCTCTTTTTTGCCACAATATCTGCTTTCTGAAGGCTCTGGAAGGCGTTGCCCTGTTGAAAGAAAACAACCCCTTGCATTAAGCATGGCTTGGGATGTGAAAAACTACCCGTTTCTGCATTGTGTGTCTGTTAGAAATGCCAGTCTGACAGTCCATTGAGACAGCCCCTACTCCCTAATCTAAGGAGCCTTCCATTCCTCTGCTAAAAGTGGGCAGAGATCTGAATGGACACTTCTCAAAAGAAGACATACGAGCAGCCAACAGATAGATGAAAAAATGCTCAGCCTCACTAATCATCAAAGAAATGCAAATTAAAACCATACTGAGCTACCACCTAACTCTAGTCAGGATAGCCATAATCAAACACTCAAAAAACAACAGATGCTGGAGACGATGGGGGGTGGGAAACACTTCTACACTGTTGGTGGGAATGTAAACTAGTACAACCTCTGTGGAAAATAGTGCGGCGCTTCCTAAAAGATCTAAAAATTGACCTTCCATACGATTCCGCAATCCCCCTTCTGGGAATATACCCAGAGGAACTCAAATCATTCTACAAAAAATGATACCTGTGCCCGCATATTTTTTGCAGCACTGTTTACAATAGCAGAAATGTGGAACCAACCATGCTGCCCATCAAAAGTAGACTGGATTGAAAGTATGTGGTATATATACACAATGAATATTACACAGCCATAAAAAAGGATAAAATTATGACTTCATAGCAACTTGGATAGATTTAGAGTTTATAATACTCCGTGATCTATCACAGAAACAAAGAACTGAGTCCCACATGTTCTCACTCATAAGCAGGCCCTGAACAATTATCACAATACTATAAGAAAGGGATTGGCAGTAGTGGGAAACTGCCAGGGGTGGGGAGCACACTTCATCAGTAAGGGTAACTGATCTCAAACCAGATGATTCAGGAACCAAAGTAAGGCCCAAACTTTACCTGTATAATGATCATTTGTATACCTAACCCTGAATTGTACCCCACATCTTTTTTAAAAAAATTAAAAAGGAAAAAAAAAAAGGAATCCACTGTGAGAAACATGTGCCTTGGGGCTCTGAGCAACTTTTCACATGCAAATACCCTCCGGAAGAGTAACACTTCATGCTAGCTACAGTCCTGCACTACCTAGAGGGCTCCTTACTGGAATCCTAGGAGATGAGGCATGGCTTTCTTTTTCTATACAGCCCATATGTTGGTTCCCAGAATGAAATCTCTTTCTTCATTTGATTTCTTTCCCCATGTGACTGACTACTCTTGTTTCAGACGTCACTTTCAGTGAGACCTTCTTTGCCCCTGGACTAGGCTAGGAAATTTCTGCTTCCTCTTCTATCAAAACATCCATCAAATATATACATCATTATAATCATCAGATTGAACTATGATATTTATAACATTTGACCATTTTTAACCTATAAAAAAGGCAATTTCATGTGGTTTGACCCAGGTGCTTGTTTGCTACCTATCTATCTTTCTTGTTAGACCCCGTGCCCTTTAGGGACTGGGCCTCATGTGACTGAGTCACACCGCTCTACCCAGTACCTGCCCCTGTGCCTGTTCTGCAAGTAGATGCTCACTGCGAGTTGAGCGCATGAAGACACCTGTTAAAGGAAGGATGTGGCATGTACCTAGTGCCCACCCTGTGCAAGGTGCTTGACAGATGCTCTCGCCTTTAACCCACACAGCTCTGAACTAGGTATTGGTGTTCCAGTTTTACAAATAAAGAAACTGAGACTCAGAGAGATTCATTAGCTGGCCCAAATCACTATATTATTGAGGGCTGGACGCAGGTTAGAAATAGCATCCTGCCTGAAGCTAAAACTCCCTGCTTTTTCCATCACCCCTGTTGACCACAGCAGACCTTTGTAGTGTTACCCAACAGCCTTTTGGCTCTTCTCCCTTGCTCACCTTTATCTTAGTGGCTGTGAAAGCTAAACACTAGCCTTATTCATTTTCTCTTCCAGTTAGAGGTGGCCAGTGGCTGTAACCAGAAAACTTTTGCTTTTTTTTTTTGAGTTGGAGTCACACTCTGTCACCCAGACTGGAGTGCAGTGGCACACTCCTGGCCACTGCAGCCTCGACCTGCTGGGCTCCAGCAATCTTTCCGCCTCGGCCTTCCAAGTAGCTGGAACTACAGGCGTGCGCTACCACGCCCAACTAATTTTTTAATTTTATTGTAGAGATGAGGTCTCACCAAGTTGCCCGGGTGGGTCCTGAATCCGGACTCAGGCAATCCACTAACCTCAGCCTCCCAGAGAGCTGGAATTACAGGCTGAGCCACCAAGCCTGGCTTAATTTTTGATCTCTTAATGAAAGGGACAGAAGAGTCCAGCACGTGGATGGGACACGTAGAACTGAAGCAGCCACCCTGTGTCTCTGAAGGCAACACTTACAAGATCACAGACACACTGGCCCTGGCACCACAGGCCTGCAA